TATATATATATATATAGAGAGAGAGAGAGAGAGAGAGAGTCTGGTTCCGTGGGGACTTAAAAAATGATGAGGAATGCGATGACAATTCTTCACCACCCACTTCGTCAAAGGCATAATCGTCAAACCCGAATATTTGGTCGTAGTCCGTTCTCATATGACCCACGTATGTGGTAACTAATACAGACTCGGAGATTTAATCACGTGCGGTGAACGTCCATGAAATGTCATTTAAGTGGGTTTTATTATTTGTTTTCGTTTTTTTATTTTTTGTTAAAAAAATTAAAATGGATATATGCTCGGTTTTAATGTTTTTAATTTTTGATTTCGTTTTTTTATATTTTTTCGTTTTTTTTTAAATATCTTTACTAAATACTTGAAGGTACTAGTATTTTTCTTTATTTTTGTTTTTATTTCTTGATTTTTTTTGTTTTTATTTTTTGATTTTTTAAACTAAATATCGGTTTGAGTTTTTAACGTTTAACAATCATAAAATTTTATATAAGAAGAATATAAAGGATCATAATATTTTCCGTTCATACTTTTTTTGAATCATATTATTTTTGGATCATAAAATTTTGAATCAAATCATTTTTAATCATATGATTTTTGATCAATAATAAATTCAATAAAATATAATTTTTGTTCAAAAAAAAATTATGGATCATAATATATTTTGAATCATTTAATTTTAAATTATAAAATATATAATTAAGAATTATAAAATATTTGAGTCTAAATATTTTTATATCATAAAAAATTAAAGATCATAAACAAGTCGAATCAAAAGTTTTTTTTGAATCATAAATATTTTGAATCATCACATTTTGGATCATATTATGTTCAATATTCAAAAACTAATTTTTGAAAAATTCTTTTTACAAAGTTTCTAGTATATTGAGTAGAAGTATCCCTTAAGTTTTTATGATTTTTGGAGAATTTTTTTTTCTGAGTTTTTTTTATATATATAAAATAAAATAAAAAAATTCAAATTTTTATGATTGTGCTCATTTTGTAGAGAATTAAATTCTAAGAACTTTGGTTTTTGCAGATTTTTTTTTCAAAGAAAAAAAAAGTTATTGCCGAAAAACGAAGTACGTGGAACATCTATGTTTTATAAGGTACAAATCATGTTATGTTTCAAAATGGGTAAGAAGCCTTCATTGAAGTCGATTCCAGTGATCTAAATATACTTTTTTGTGAATATTCGTGTCTTGTATATCTTTCTTTGTCCGTTTGAGCAACACCTTTCTTTTCTTATAAACCTACTTGCAACATATATGTTTCTTCTCTTTTAGAAATTTCACTAAATCCTACGTATCCTTCTTTTCAATCGACTTTGTCTCATCATGCATATCTATTATCCACTTGTTAAAATCATCATAAATTATAGCCTAAGTATATGATGAATGCTTAGTATAGTTTTTTATTTCTTTTGATAAACTAAAAGCATAAGTAACAATATTTGTTGCATGAGTAAACCTCTTAGGAGGTTTGTGATTCCTTTTAGGGATGTTAAGGTGACTAAGGAATCGATGTGGTATTTTCATTAGTAGGTGTGATGTCTTGAGCTTAAGTATTTTCTTTATCTAGTGTGTTGCATGGACGATAATATGATCCACTTGGACATTTGACTCTTCTAGAATTTCAACATATTTGTTGGTAGATGTTTCATCATAAAACATAGCAAACTCTTAAGATAATCTTTTTTCTCATTAAAATGTTACTCTATTCAAGAGTCCATATCTTATAGCCTTTAACACCAAATTTGTAACCGAGAAAGATGCACTTGAAAATTTAGACTTTAACTTCCTGCTATCGGCATGTGATTAGGATGTTCACTAATTTTTTTAACACTCTAAGTCCAACTAGATTCTAGAAATCAGATTTCTACTGGTAGTTTCAATTGACAAGATGCTTTTTTCTCACCCTCGGTCACATGACTTCAGTCAAGCTCACTACAAATCTACAGAAGTCAGGCAGTTGATTGCCTTTGACCATACCGATTGAATTCCTCACTTTCCAATGCAGTAGAATTGAGAACTCATAAGTAATGTATATGTCCTATATTATGGAAATATAAGGTGATCGATATATGATAAAATATGTAGTAGAGAAAGTCATGTTCCCAAAGTCAAGTTTACATGCTTATATTAAAATATTGTACACTGCACCATCTAAGCGGACCACGTCAACCTGAACAAAGGAGCATGTGGGAGGTAAATCGCAAAACGCTCGTAGTATTTTGGGTGTGCCAGGTTTTGAACCTTAGACCTCATGTGTCATCAATATTTTAGTGTAGTAACGATTCTATTTTCAACAAGTTGAGTACTTTTTGGTTATGTTTTGAGACAATAGTTGCAGAGTGTACACTCGAATAAGTTAATAGGACTTGGGACCACGGGGATCCGAGGTATCACTTAGTGGAGTTCCTAGGGACAAAGGGCATCACCCCTAGAAGGATCCAGGGGGAGCCCCCTCCTGCTGCACGAGATTCACGTCTAATACTTGGGAGTATCGTTTCCCGTACTAACCGTCATCTTCTACATGTAAAAAGAAGAGTTGAACATTTCAGAAGATACATACAACAAGAAAACTGCTTCTTCTTCTTCTTCTCTCTACATATTGTCTCTCAAAACACAATCAATTGCAAGATAATTA